GATAGCCTACAGATGACTACTGGCCACCAGAGCAGCCAATGGTTTACAACAAATAGACTACATATCTTAAAGTTTGCCAGTAAATATTTAAACGATCAATGTTCAAATATAAAATTTCCAGCTTTTTTTTTTTTTTTTGATATCAAAATCAGCACTGATATCTTTTCTGTTTGTGGCGAACATTTTCAGCATACATCAGCAGTGCCTAATCAATGACAATAATAATACCGATCTAAGTACAAATTTATTTATTACACACTGTTCTTTATCAACAACTGTCACAGTAACCAATTCCAAAAGAATAGCCTTTGTCTGTAAAGCCCAAAAAAACAGATGTTTCTTTTCACCTTTTATACACTAACCTTCGTTCAACAAATTTCTGTTAACCACCTAGCAGTTTTATAATTTGCAACAACAGTATAAAAACATTTTTCCAAATGCAGCTGTCACTTCTTAGCTTTTAACCTTTGGCCTTCATTGTTCAAAATAAGAGTGTACAGAAAAAACTTTCCTTCTCCTGAACAAATGGTCACCAAATAATGCAGTAATAGCTGTAGTAGAAGCAAAAAAAAACAAAAAAAAAGAATTGAAGATAAGATTTTTCTGCCCTTTTTTTTCATTCCCCGTTTCTTATCTCTCAGTTTCCGATTACGACTTTTAGAAAATTAAATTTGAAAGTAACCTTAACAACAACAACAATCACCACCACCACCACCACCACCAACCAACAATCAACAACTACGACAACAACGATAACGAAAAAATTTTTAATCAAAAACAAAAAAAAAAAGTTAAAATTTTGCTGATTATCCACACTAAGTTTTTTTCTTGTCTAATCCGTTAAAACTTTTCCCATCTTTCCAATCCGTTTATTTTCCAGCAGTTTAACTATCAAAAATTTATACCCTATTAGTTCTCCGTTCACTTTTACTTTTAAGTACATAAAAAATAAAAAAAAAAACTAACCCAGTTATTCCAAACAGCAGTGATACAGCCAAACCATTAATTTTTGGCAACTCGATTTTTCCCCCGACTAACTCTTCAAAGCCAGTAAAAGAGAAAAAAAATGAAATAAATATCAACAAAAAACAAAATTCTCGATTAAAACCCAAATTCATCACCCACTTTTTTGGTTGATGACTATTTGCTGCAAATACGTATATATATCTATTTATAACAAGACGGTCCACTGAATTGATCCCAATCTTGCCAACAACCGGACCAAAAAGCAGCCACTGCTGAATTGTCGGCAATATTGGGCCAATAACGCCGACAGGCAGTAGCGGTAGTGGCAACATTCTGTGAAGGCTGTTAAGTAACAATCATTTAGTTCAGTCTAATTTGATGCTCTAGACTTGTAAAAATTGCTTTCTTTTAATAAACCAACTGCTCAGCTGTTGCAAATTAACCACTGTTTAGAAAGATACCAGTCACATGGTGATGAACAATTTTTGTCTTCCACACTATTAATATTTTTTCTCCTTCTTCTTTTTTTTTTCTATTCAATTCTCAACATTAATTTTTTTCTGGGCTCCAACAAGAAATATTTTTAAAATATTAATGCATTTTTTTAACCCATAATTATTCATTAGACTAGCTGATGGTTACAATTAAATGTGTTTGTAAGGACGAATCACAACTGTACAGCAACAAAAGTAGTAAGTTAAAAAAAAAAACTAGTGATAGTAGAAATACTATTCGTAATAGTGGCAGTAATAACAGACATTAATAAATATTTAGTTTAAATTTGAACTAATATTTTGATGGTATGTTATTTTTAATGTTCATCAAGCACAGTGTTAGAAGGGGAACAGCATCAGTCAGTTAATTAATCAATGTTAGCCTACTGCTGTTTGCTGCTATTCTGATAAACCTCAATTTCTGATGACAGATCTTTGCTCGTTAACCAACAGCAACAACAAACCAAAACATCGGTTTGATGAAACTTTAAACCGTTTTATAGAATTTCTTTTCATTCATTTTGTAAAAAATAAAAATGCAGATAAAGAAAGAGGAAAACAAGAAAAAGGAAGAAATAAAGAAGAAGAAGAAAAAGAAAACAACGGTTATTGTTGAGGAGTAGCATCTGTTATCATTGTACTTGTAGAGTTTACTGCTGAACCCTATCAACTAACCTCCAGTCTATTAGTTGTCTGGATATTATATTCAAAAACATTATACTCCAATCCGATGAACATTCTATCCTCGGATATCAAATTCTCCCTTAAAATGCTGCAAAAAAAAAAAAAAAAAAAAAA